ACTGGGAACGATTTTGAACCATGTCGTCCCTAACCATTGTTACAATAATCACGCGAACCCCAACCACATAGTCTACACTTGTTAACATGCCCAAGTCCAAATACCAGTGACTTCGTGGACTGATGCCGTGTTTTTGTTTGGCGGCCATTAGCTGTCTTCCAGCCAACCCCTGCACTGTACAACATCGCCCCTCGAGGTAGGCAGTTGTTGGGCATACGTAACACATGTCCTAACCTGTCATCTCTATCCTTATTATTAAGCACCTGATGCTAAAGATACAAAGATATCTTTGTCCCTTGCTTTTGTTGTCCATTATAAATAATTTGTAGTTAGTTTAGTCATTTGTGCCTTCAAGCTCGTAATGTAGGTTTTCACACTACAACTGACTAGGGTTAGGGTACATATATTTGCTCACTCTTTCAACGTTTGGTTTCGGATTGTTAATTATCTTTTGCTTTTTTGATAGCAATTTGAATACATTTTTAAAGACGCTGATAAAATGCAGTCTATTGATAGCACTGAGCAACAATACCAGGATATTTGGGATGCGCTTCTCACCCTCTAAATGCAAGGTGTTGCTTTACGACTGGCCTGTGTCAACACCTGAACTAAGGATAGGGAGTGAAGTAGTCGAACGCGTTGACAACCTCACTTATCTTGGAAATCTGATCAGCCCTAATGGGTCGGTGTCTGACAAAATCTCTGCACGGATTTAAAATCCTCTTTTGGCTTTTGCCAAATTATGTCACCTATGGCGAAGTCGAGATATATGTCTACCAATTAAGGGACGAGTATACTGAGCAGTAGTTCGTTCTGTTCTACCTTATGTCTGTGAAACGTGGCCATTAAGAGTAGACGGTACTCGTAAATCCCTAGTATTTGATCACAGATGTCTTAAAAATATTGCTCGCATCTACTGGAATCACCGGTTAAGTAATAGTGAGGTTAGACGCAGGTTATTATGCAATTATGGTAAATCAGTTGATGAGGTTTTAAGTCTACGTCGGCTGTGATGGTTAAGTCACGTTTTATGTATGCCTGAACACTGTTTACCACGATGCGCAACGCTGACCAATGTTGGAGATGGATGGAAAAATGTTAGGGTCGGCCGAACTAAAACCTGGTATCAGCTCATAACGTGAAATAAATAACTTAAAGCACATTCCTAAATCTTCAGCTGAGGTAAGAAAACTTGAGAACAAATCAGCGATAGCATTACACTCGATGGAATCGGGTCATGCAATTGATTTCAATAACACAAGAATCCTTCAAAAAGGCTTTAATTCTTACAAAGAAATACCAACAGCAGTAGCCCTACATATATGGGCTAATTCAAACAGTATTAATAGGTGTTATGGATGCTGAGGAATAATGTGCCAGTCATTATCATGTTAAGTCTAATGGTGTCTTTGGACGTTAAATGAACATTTCCTATTGGCCGTTATTTATTTCACTCGTTAAATATTGTACAGATGTTGTTTTCTATTTTTATGGTACGATGTGGTCTGTTTGGTTAGTATATAAATAGAGTATGTCTGAAATATAATGATTCATAACTCAGAGGCTGTGACTTGCGTTCTAGACTCAACTGGCTGGGCTAGACAGGGAAGTGGGACCAATAAGGGCACTAGGTCGTTCACTACGTGTTTTCCGTGTCACTGAATTGATCGATAAAACGCTGCGCATCTAGCCTGCAGTTCACTCGTTACAACAATAGGTGAGATGGAATACAATTAGCTGTTCCATGGCAACTAATAATTAATAACTAAACCTGAACTCCTTATTCCATTTTATCTGTATCGCATTAACTAATTAACAGATATTACATTCAACGGTTCAAATCAGTTATCTTATCTGAATATGTTAAACAATTAACTGAAACATTAAAAATAACATAAGCTTTCAATTACAAATACATTCTTCCTCTTTGAATTCATTCCTTTATCTTGTTTATTTATCTTCATTTAATGCATACTGTAACATTTTTGATTCGTATGTATAATACGTTTTCTTAATATTCACCGACCGAAGACAATGTATGGTGAATGAAATTTCTTCTCACTTACGTATACACACAATCTGTTATGTTAACATTTTTCGTTTCACACCACATGTCTCTTACACACTAATGTGAATACCTACTTTAAACATTGTGTAACGTTGATTAGATGATTTATTCAGTATACAGTAAACCGGAGAACCTTGTACCTATTTATATTCGATAATTTTGATGTTTGATTATATTACCTTAGAAAAGCTTAGACCATATTGCCAGGTGAAACGTTGGGTTTACTTCAAATTCTTTCGCTGAGACTTTACAAATACATTCTTCTGTAATGTCTCACATTAACTCGGCGTCCAAATACTGTGAAACTCTGATCAGATTATTCTATCTTCTTATTGGTTATTTATAAAATGAAGTATTTTTATTTACTACTTCGAAATTCATGGTCATTTTGATTGAATATATATAGCAGTAAGCGTAGATAGAGAGGATAAATAAATTTTTGTTGTCCACGCCGTCGAAGATTTACTCTCTAATTAAATATTAGTTAAGTTAGATAAATTTTAATTCTAAAGGCACGTTCCACTACACCAGTTATATTTAAAGGGTAAGTTGTGTAAAATCTATACACTTTCTCGTTTGTGTTGTTCGGTCACATTTGGGGTTTCTTCGTTACTACAAAAATTCAAAATTAGCAAATATTTATTAATTTTTTGTTTCCGACCTTATCTTTCTAGTCTATAATGAGATGGTTTTCTAAAAGTTCTGGTTCACAACGCGCTTTAGTAGAGAATAAGCTGAAAATAAAGAAAAAACCATTACTATGGTCGCTATTATGCGCAACGAAGCGGTCAAGTTTAACTTTCAAGCGTCCCTTTCGAGAAAATATAGATACTCAAAAGTCAAGGTGGGTTCAGCAACGTCGAAACTCAAGAATATCTAATAACTTTGACACTAATCTCTGTTCGTCTCTTGAGTCTTTATCAAGTGAATCGGGAAATTATATAAAAACATTTAAACGGGATGATCCAATCGCTCCGACTTTAAAACAATGTTCTAATGAATCACCTATAGCTTATTGTCCAAATTGTCACACAAATGTAGTTCCAGTATATCAAAAGGTTATTTATTCAAATCATGCGATTATGGATAATAAGGTTCCAGAAAGTGAAATGGTTGAAATATCTAACGAATATACTGTCTACGAATCTGTTTATAAAAATAGTTTATTTTCTATTGATACTAATATGGATTGTGAGTTAACTGAGCGCAAAGAACTTCAACCAGTTGACAAGGTACAATTACCTTTGTATTTCTTGCCAATAGAACCGTTAGCCTTCAGTACTATCGATCGTAAAGCTATTGCCTTCGATGACTGTAAAACAGTGTACGACGAAGTTGCTTCCGAAAATGAGGAAGACTCATCTTCAGGGCACTATGATTCATTACACTTTGTAATGATAAAACAAAACGCCCGACCTTATCGTAAGCGTAGCGCTTATCCTGAATCAGATTCATATCAACAAATGAAACGGATGAGACGAGAGGTGTTCGTTTGTGAAGAATAAATGTAATCTTGTCAAAGTAAAACTACATATTTTATAATAATTGGTGGCAGCATTTATGTTTAAAAACACCTTCGGCATTTTCTAACTTTCCTCGTCAAAAATCACTAAGTTTTTGTTATGTCGGTGTTTGTTATCATCATTTTTATATAATTGGCATTGTTTTCTAAGTATTAATAACATTCCAATTTTGTATACTACGAAAGACTTTTGATTTCTTAGTTTTTATCAGAAATTTCTGTTAGTAAGTTTGCAGAAGAATGATTGTAATATGCAGATTAGTGCGGTATTTTCTAATCTAATTCACCCTAGATATTTCGTGGTAGAACAATAATGCGTCTTCTAACCATTCCATTTCATATCGCTGAAAAGTACTGTTAATCTGAATCATATAAGAAAAAAAATCGTGGTTTGAAGATCCAATGTATCAAAAACTAATGTCTGGTGAACGTACTCGACGTAGTGAGATGCGTTCATTTAGACAGTAGACGGCTTATTCTCACTCTATACTTATACTTGTCTTTAATGTCTAAGACCTATTATGACCTTTTGAAGACAATAAAGTGAAACGACTCAACAAGTAGGGTAGTCACATACAGAGCACTTGATTTTGAACCATACTTCTTGTTGAGAAGGTCCGCTAATACTGCCTTGATACTTCCGAAGATGCGAGGTGATGAGAACAGGTTTCGAGGCTTTGAACCAATGATAGGAAGAGATGTATCGCAACTATCGTGCCATAGAACTTCGTGGAACGTTTTGTTTTACCTCAGTATGCGATTAGCTGTTGTAAGCAAAATGACCAGAAGAATCTGAATTCTGCATAGCCTTTATGTTACCTTAGTACAATTGAATTACGGTACATAATAATTCTTTGTTTACACCAAGTTGTATGGTATAGTGATACATAGTATATTTCCACTGAAGCATTTCGAAAGGAAGTTGATACAGTTTATTTTATATTATCCATCTTTCTATCAGGTGCAATGCTTGGAGGACAGTAATAAACTAAGCTCTCCGAATAATTAATTCAACACACCATGATTTATGTCATTAAGAATCTGTTTATACCTGTACCCTTACATTCCGATGCCCACGAATACAGTTACCCTTACTCGCCTAAATGTTAGTAGCTTAAACCACATGTCTGTTTTTATCTACTTCATAATTTCCATTAAATTATTTACTTTCTCATTGTCTCCAATCATGTGCTTGGTGGTTGTTTGAAATATGCTATACGAAAATAAACTAGTTAGCACTTTATATTACCGTCCTCTGGAAAATTATGAACCGCTCGTTATTATTGTAATAATAGTTGTCAGATCGACTGATACATGAAGTACATAAGAAATATCTTGGAGATATTTCATTACGAGAAATGAATCAAATTTAATCTATTTAAGTAATTCATTGATATAAAAGACGAATCATTGTATCTAAAGTAATACGACTATATTAAGGAGTATTTATAAAATTAATCTTGGAATTATATTATAAAAGATAGAAAAGAAAGGAGAGGAAATTCGCAGGGAATAAGAAACATCAATTAAGAGAAATAAAACAAACATCATGCATTAGAATAAATAGATATGACCTTGTCATTATTATTTACGAATGAATAGTAGTGATAATACTTGTTTATTTTACGAGTTAATTTTGTCTTATGTAAAAAATTGAATTTACATTTCACCAGTATAGCAAATTAAAATAAATTACATGAACTGTACAACAGCATAGATGATGATTAAAATACTGACAGGCATCTAGCAGTATCCATTATTATTAAAAAGAATAAAATGATGTTTGTGTTATTGTTAGGAGGGGGGAATTTCATCATCTTAGAGAAGAAACATTAATGTTAGAAGAAGAAAAAACAACAAATTGATAACACATTAAGAAATCTAAACTAAATTATAAAGAAATAAATTTTAAAAGTCATGTATACAGGAAGACTGAGAAGAAGTAGTCAGTCAGTGAGTTTAATGTATTGAACACAAAATTTCTTACTCTACAGATGGAATTGATAGAATAGAACTTAAACGATTATGAATTTCTAAGGCTTCTTTTAATACATTTCCTAAACGTATATGCAATGATCGTATAGTATCTTGTGATGCACGATCCATCCATAATAGTCTGTTTTGATTACCTTGTACCAATGAAGGATGAATAGTACCAACTGGCCTAGGTTTATTACTAATACTCAATTCGTTAATCCATTCTCCATTACTATTGACACCGGCACTTCCACCGCCATTAGTACCATCTAATTCCAAACGTGCAATACCACATCGTAGATCAGGACTATCAACGGTATCGATTGATATTCCCGGCTGTTTAAACGTAAAACAGGGTAGTGACAATAAACATAAATCTAAACAATAGAAAAGTTAATATCTAAATTTTTAGTACAATTAAGTTGCCATATTCAGAACAATGTGAGTCACATCTCAGAGAATAAAATATGACTAGATGCTGTTATACTAAGGCTTTATGTGTCTGGTGGGAGCTTGCAAATTTTTTCGTTTGCAGACACATTGTCTAATGTAAGAACATTAGAGAAATTCTATATTATTTATTTTAATAATGATATCTGTATGTAGAATTATTTTACTGCACAATTAAGTTCTGAACTAAAATCAGTATTTGGGTAATGAAGTGAACATCTCATACATACTTCATTCTTACTTAGGGTTTATTTTGATTCACATAGTTTGGTACCCAGTTCAATATAAGTAATTCAAATTTCACAGAAGACTTGTAAGTCCTAGAAACTGCAGAAACAACTCATCAAAAAAAATGTGCATGAAAATTCAAAAAAACATAAACTCATGAATATTCGTTGAATATAGCTTCGCGAGCGTGACGTATTTTACTTATAGATTTCAAAATCAATACAATAAATAGAAAAAGCCAACATATAAAAAGGGACAAATCCCAGGGATAAGTGATTAAACGACGAATGTCTACTACAAGAAAATAATGGAAAGATAGGTTTTAAATGATACCATTCCCGGATCACACTTAAGTGCGTAATTACAACTATTTGTAGTAAGTTAAAAACCATTAATTATCGAGAAAATTTATTCATAACTATTATTAGCAATCAACTTGAGTTATTTATTTGCATAACTTGTTTACCTTAGTTACTAGTTCTCGACGTTTTGTAAAAAAAATAAGGATTGGTATGTCAGTAACTAACCAATCAAATCACTGCTTAAACGCCCACCATGCCAACCTGGACTGATGTGTCTGTGTGAACAGAGAACTATGATTCGTCATTTTCATTTTATTTGTGTGAGGGTTGTGATACTGCCCGGGTGCCCAGACCGAAGCAGGTGGTTTTCTTAGGTGGCCACTCCCCGAGCCTTCGACCTGAAGGTCTGATCCACAAGGCAGTGGAGGATCGTAAGGAGATGCAGTCCTATGGAAGCCGGTGACCAACGATTGGTTCATACGCCATTTGTTCCCGCAGGATACTGGAGCCGATGTGCACCATTGATTTGTGATCCGGTTAAAGCGCCGGACATTCGCTTTTCGTCCTCTCCATTTCGTAAACAACACCCCCGCCACGAGAAGGCAGTGAGTAGGACTTCCCTGGCAGAGGCTGTATACGCGTGGCCGTGTGAGAGCATTTCGAGAGGTGGGCGGGCCCACCCCACTCTCGGCCATACCAGGGCATTTGGAGGAGGGTTCGTTCTGGTCGAGGGCATATTGATCATATCTTCACCCGTCATATTTATCAAAGGCCGACAATCGCAGTGTTTCTTGAAAAGACTGTTCTCTGGGATTGTCTATTGAAGAAGGGTGTGCCTGGGAAGTTTATTAACATCTTAAAGGCCCTATATACAAACACCTCGGGTAGAGTGAGGCCATACAAACATCTTTCTCAATTGTTCCATTCAACCATTGGGGTTAGACAGGGTTGCCCAATCTCACCATTCCTCTTCAACTTTGCCATCGATGACATTCTGGAAACAGCTCTGATGGATGTAAGTAATGGTGGTGTGGATCTGTTGCCTGGAGAAAGACTTCTCGACCTTGAGTATGCGGATGGTATTGTCTTACTGTGCGATAATGCCCAAGCCATGCAATCCGCACTTAATCAGTTGGCAATCAGTGTCCGTAAGTATGGTATGTGCTTTGCACCTTCAAAGTGATTATGACTAATGTTGGTTGACAGTTGTTTTGAGTTCTATATGTTCTTCAACTGTATGAATGCGGCACTTGCTTTGCCTAGTGACTACTAAATATGTGATTTCCTTTCTTACCATTGATTTCTACTGCGGATTCACTGAGTGCAACTACTTGTAATTATGTCGAATAAAGGTATTATCTAGTGTTAATCTAGTTCTCTATCCTGGGTTGTGAATCTTGGTTCTGATATAACGTGACTAGTCTTATCAATGTATTAACGTACTATCGTAATATACCTGAAAGTGAAATAAAATATTTTAAACACCCGTTATATCACAATAATGATGATATAATCCATTTATCTATTATGTTGAATGGAAAAACACAAGTTTTCATCAACTTACTTCAATATTAGTATAATTTGTTGTATAAACTAATCCATTCATTGAACTACCCATTACTGGCATAGCTTGACGTTTTAATTGATTAATTTCCATTTCTAACCGTTTTACTTGAGCTTGAGCTAATTTTAATTGATTTTGTACAGATTGATTAGAATATATTTCATTTTGTCCATTAGTTGTTGTTAATGATTGTGTTGTTAGTGTTACAGGCAATGATGATGAATTCACATGTTGTATAGATAATGGATTTGATAAATTTTGTGAAATATTTTGATGTGAAGTAATAAAATTAGTCGTTAAACATGTAGGTGTTATTGTTGGTGTAGTGGGTTGGTTAACTGGAATACTACTACTACTACTATTCGATATAGGTGGATGAATTTGACCATTTTGTAACGGGCTTGATAAATTGTCTTTCGGTAAATTGACTGAATCTGACTATTGTTTTGTTTGTTTTAGGAATATAGAGCAGAAAAAGAAAGTGGAACAGATTTAATGAAGTATAAATAAAGAGAAAGCTAGCTTTTCTTCTTGGTAAAACAATTAGATTGATTTGTGGAAATCAGAAAAAAAGTTTAAGAATGCTTTAACAATGATATTTTCATGAACACTGACAACGAATGCATTGAAGACTGTAATATTGTTGATTCACATGCAGAAATAAAGTCCAAATATAGACTGTTAGCTAATAATTATCTGGTATTCGTCATGAATCAACCTCAGGTAGGATAACCGTTTGATATCAGAGAACATTAGACTGAAGATTCATCGCCATATTGGGCTACTCAGAAAATTGTACTTGTGAATCTAAAAAGTATTAACCTAGGTTATCTAACCATAAAACCAGTGGATTGGTTTCAAGTGGTACACATTTCCAAGTTTAATCTGATAGCAATGCAACTTGTGATCATCTGGTGCCAATGATGATGACTGTTTCACGAATAACATGGCTGAACTCTAATATTTTGAACCATAACATTAGTAGAGGCGAAAATGTGACACGTCAATTACTAAAACTCGAAGAGAAAAATGCTTACCGATTCATACAATGTATCTATTGTTTAGAAAGGACAATTATATATGGCTTCAGCCTACAACTACTAACTTAAATTCAGTAGGTAAATAATTTAAACAAAATTAAAACGTTACCGTAATTAAAAAATCGAAATAAATTGTCTGTATTTTCCAAATTGGTTATATAACCAAATTACAACAGCCAAATGGAATAAAAATGACTTGTGGTAACCTTTTACTTTAAATATCACATTCAAATGATTTATGTGCTGTCAATAATTTTACATAAAATAAGATGATGTACGAAGGGAGAAATGACGGTGAAAAAAATTTTTTTCAATGACATTTTTTCCTATCAAAATGTCTGATAAAATCTTTATTTAGTTTTATGGACCACTCGTGATCCCCAACAAGTAACATATTGAAAAATTACAACAACAAAAAAATGAAGAATATTTATAGGAGAAGAAAAAAATTTGCTACAGAGAGACATTTGCAGCAATGTCGAAAAAAAGATGATGAATAGATAGGTTAGTTAGAGTTGGAAACTAGGTGTTTATGTAATTATTGACTATTGATTTGAACTATAGAATGCCTTAAGGTAATAGAGCTGTGGATTATTAAAAACTAGTGTTTAACACCATTATTATTTTGATCTATAATACTGACGGTTTAAATTATCTGCCACCGGAAAAAATGTAACAAAGGTGAATTGATAGAATTTCCAAATCAGTTTTCAGCTTGTCTAGCTCTAATATTAAGGAATTGTTGTTAGTTTTATTATCACATTGAATAGAAGTTTGTAACTGAAACTAAATTTTCACTAACACAAAGCTATCTGAACGTATATATCTTGAAAAGCCAACGGACTGTATAATTACTGTATTTAATATTAAAAATGGAATTTACAGTATAATACTAAGACCAGGAGGTGTTGTTAAATGTAGAAGTAAAGTTTCGAATTCATTCGACGGCAGTTGGTGATCTATGGAGACATTTATTTACTGAATAAGATTGTACCTTAAAGAACTTTTAAACATGTTTACTGTCCTCGTTTTAATTGGTTTAGATTTAAAAATTAATTTGTCAGTTGTATTTGTTACAGATTGGTTTCAGTTATATAATTAAGCCATTAGACCTTGTCTACCGTAATAACTCTGCTGACGGCTAACTGCAGCTAATTTGCGCAGTATTTTCATGATACTTCTCCATAACTTGTTCAATAGACATGAAGTATGACGACTTCCAACTCATTATTAACACATCTGCAGGTGTAAATGGATAGAGATTCTCTTTTAGGTAAGTTATATTGGTTGGTTGTAACTGAAAATGTATTGTAGAGAACCTGGTAAGTTTCTCTATAAAACGAGTGTTATCTTTTTTCGTGCTGTACTGTTTATTCGGGGAAGTGCTTGGATAGCTAGGTGCCGTAAAGTACGAGAATGCTCAGTGAGATCTTCGATGGTCAGACAGAAGTTGGATCGTATATTGCTAAGTATCAGTAGGTATAGAAGACTCATTCAATGTCTTAGCAACGAGATGATAGGTTGTTAAAAAATTAATTCACTGGCAGTCGCTCGTCGCCCATGTTCATCATTAAGAAACAATAAATGTGATCTAAATATTTAGTTGAGGGTATTTTCTTTCGAATAGGAAATCATCCTCAGCTTCTATATCACATAATCTTAGTTAGCTCTGAATACTGAGGGCTTCCGCGGTGGCATTGGCGTATCTATGATAATCTCACATGGTAATTCTTCGTATTTTGTAGGATCCATGAGTACTGACGTCTCTAATACCAAAGTATACATATGTGAACGATCCTTATATCAAAATGAATGAAGTTTCGAGAAAAAGATATTAACTATTTAATAGTTTATGGATCAACCAGATGGTAACGTTCAAAGTAACGCGATCTTAAAAGTGGATGTTGTAGGTGTGTGTATGAGCATTGATAAAACATTCAAGAACAGAAATGCACATCTTTAGTCATAAATGAACAATTAACTAATTGATTTTATCCTCCATTGTTTTGTTGTAAAATCTTTTATAAAAAAACGAAATATTTGTCCTCAAATCTATCTTATTGAATCTATGTGTGAATATGTTTATGTGTATTGTATTCAGCATTGGCAGAAAGAAAAAAAGAATCACCAAATTGACCTGGATAGTACAACAATACAATACAGCAACAAAAAAACAAATACGCGAGACTTGACCTCGACCTCAGGGTTAAAGTTAAGAACATAATTGCAATTAGTAAACTAAGGCTGAACTGGCTAGTTTTCTTCTCTAAAAAGCAGTGACTTTATTTTCAAGTTTAAACATAAGTAATTTTATTATCCATAGTGAGTAATCAACGGTAAGGGAATAGAGAATAATATTGATTTATTTTACTATGTCACAATATCTCATTTGGTAAAGCATATTATAATACACTTTGGAGAAACAATTAGACAAACTTCACTATACAATAAGGAAATTGTAAATTATTCTTTTTACTAAAAAGTGATGTATGATGCTTTAAGGTAGGAGTTGAGCCATATAATGATGGAAGAGGTTTATTATTGAGAAATGATAAATTAAATGATTCCCTCTAATTCTTAATGTCATTTCATCTACCATCAGTCAGTCTCAACAAACCACTAACTAAATAATAATTATGTACTAATCAACAGTGAGCAAGCCTCCCGACAAATTTCACTGTTTCCTTGTAATACTATGACATGTGGAATTGACCATGTCAGAAAGTGAGGGACGATAACATACTAAGGACATTGGACAATGTCACAAACCCAGTGGTGTACAGTGTTAACTGCTGGATATTGAATCAAAAGTTGCAAGGTTATTGAACGTGGTGATTTACTTTAAAGTCTGGAGTTTGTTTTTATGAAGAGTCGTGAGTGCCCCGCTAATAAGTACCGAATTACGAAAAAACCCTGTTTGTCCTTTGTTTTTTGGGCAATATTAAATATGATAGTAGAATTTTCTCTCATTTCATCTAGTTTGTTTACATAAAAAAGCGATATCACTTATCGTTGGCTGGCTTCTTGATATGACAGGTGAAAGATAAGCCAGTATCATTAAAAACCAGGAAACAATGAACCACTGTTACGTTCTAGTGTGTGTCCTCTCAAGAGAGTTTGTTACCGACCCTGTCAGTTGTCGGATCCGATATTTTCAGGTCACACGGAAAATGCTTAATTATTAGAACCACTGAGTCAATGTCCAGTGGTACAGTTCCAACACCAACCGACTTGTGGCATAGCACAAAGATCTAATGTCACTGGTAACAGCTACCCTAACATAATTTATGTAACAGTATGGGAATTTGTGGAGATTGTAGTATCTTAACAGTTAAATTCACGAGTCGATCTGAGTTAGACCACCAGTGAGAACATGGAAGCACCGGACATTTGGTCCGTCCTGGTATGGGACTCCTCAGCAGTACGCACCCATGATCCCGCACTCGGGACTCAAACACACGGCCTCCCGTCTCGCGCGCAAACGCTTAATCTCTAGACCACTGAGCTGGCATCCAACGGTGTTATTGTCTTACTTCAATCGATTTATCACTTTACGCAACCCTTCATGCCGGCTCAGCTATTCAGGAGCTAAGCGTTCGCGTGAGGGACCAGAGGTCCTGAACTCGAGCCCCGAGTGCGAGGACGTGTACTGCAAAGGAGTACCATACTACGACGAATCGATCGTCCAGTGCTTCCAGGTTTTTAATGGTGGTTTAACTTAGATAGACTCATGAATTCAACTGCGTAAATTTTCATATACATCGAGTGCTTTGTACGCATGTCATTCTGTTGCATAAACTAACTTTGCTGACTAAAAATTCGTTGTATATTTTGATACTTGTTCATTCGGGCTTCTGAGTGAGTGGTTCGGTCTTTTTTAATGCTCATCACACAATCGAATTGCTTACAGCAATCTAAACGAGCAACCACACAAAACATGATTAAATGTAAGTATTCAATGAAAAATTAAACAGAAAATCTTGATGAAACTTATTACCATTCAAACAGCACTAAAACGGTGTTGTAGTATTTAAGACGTTCGACTTTCAGGCATTAGGTGGCAGGTTGGAATCCCGTTTCACTTGATTCAGTTTGAACAACAAAGTAGCATCAATAGTCATCACACTAAGAGTGTAGATCAAAGCCAAATACATGAATCGTTCCTGACAGATGAGTTACGTATCGTTAGCAATAGGTAACAAGTTCCATTTTTAGTCTACTTAATGGAAACGAAGTACATAGCCAAATAACGAGATGATAAACTCAATCACAGTATGCTTGTTTTATGGTCAAATACACGAAATTATGAGAGGTTGTTAAATGTTATTTTTCCTATACGCATAAACTTATCGATTTATCCTACTGGTAATAATGCTATGATTGTTCGTAACAATCGAA